GGGGGAGGGGTCATCTCACCGTGGGATATTATAGTATCTCACGCTCACGCGTGACGCGTGGACACCACGCTCTAAAACAATATGGCGTTCGCGAGCTGTTGTTTGTAATTTCGTAGGAAACATTGTTGCGGAAACATTTGTGATTATCGATGTTTCCACAAATGTTTCCCTGTTTGCCCACCCGTGGACACATTGTTGCGGAAACAAAATTTGCTTCCTGCGAAGCAAAAATGTTTCCTAGCAAATTCAGAAACATTTGATGTTTCCCTGTTTCCCACTAATGTTTCCTAGTGTTTACCCACTCTGGGAAACATGGCGAAACATTGGCAGGAAACAATGTTTCCGCAACAATGTTTCCTAGTTTGCCCAGGGCTTAAGTTAACCAAAGATTTTCAGGACGTATGTTACCTTCAACGATCCAAAGAATACATGCTCAAATATTTTAAAGAGAAGACGTCAAAAACTCAAGTATACATAAGAAATTAAAAATTATATTCGCTTCAAGTTTTAAAGTTTATTCTGAACTTGTTGGGTTCCGTTTAACTTTCGGTAAAATATATCATTTAAGCCCCGTTTACATGCACGACAGTAATTTTGGGTACGGTACGCTTAAATTTTGGCACGCGGATCCATGCATGCTTTTTGGTCCGCCTGTTGCGTTTACACGACGAAATTTTTGTTCTAAAAATTTTGGGTTCGGCACGCTTAAACTGGGAACGGCACTCTTACATTCAGAGTCAAAACCTTGACTTGACATGAAATATCTGATCTATTCAGCCATAACTTTTTGGTGTAGCGAAAAGTGTATTAAACTTTATTCCGAGCATTAAATCTACATTTCATTTTTACCAATTTTCTCAGCTTTTTCCCGAGTAAAATAAGCAGAAACTATATTTTTATTGAGATAGTTTAAGTTTTCGAAAATTAGTATTGAACTATTTCCAGATAATTATTAACATTTTCGTAAAAAAATACAAGTTTGTGTGTTTCCATGCATGCATGTATTTTTTCGCCTGTAAGTTTATAAACTCATATAAACCTAGAAAAATCTGTACTTGCATGTTGGTGCTTGAAAAGTCATTATATGAAAGTGTTTTAATTTTCTAAGCTATAGATCATGATATTTCATTGACCTTCATCAGGCTTCATGGCGATAAACAACTTTGTAATAAAGCAATAAATTCACATTATAAAAATATAGGATGCCATTTTGAAAGCGTGCACAGTGCATGCGAACAAGAAACACTGCGTCTTCTAATTGGCAACACTAAAACAATCAGCAACCTCGTATAAACTGGCTGATAAGCGGCGACAACAGTTTAATTTCAGAATACTTAAACTGATATTTAGATATTCTGCTTTATTTCGTTGAAAATTTATACTACAACAATGATTCGCTGCAGGCTCACTGCATAAGAGACTCACTTGAGAGAGTTGAAAATTTTAAATTACTCGGTACGTGGCTTAGTGAGGATCTCAAATGGTCACATCATGTAAAGGAACTTGTCTCGTCTTGTTATGGAGTACTTTCAACCTTGCGCAAAATTCGGAGTATGACACCCCAACATACTAAAAAGCTATTAGCAGAAAGTCTTGTACTTTCTAAGCTAAACGTTAATGATGTCGTTTGCTATCCTCTCCCCGCATATCTACAAAAGAAAATGGAACGTGTGAAAAACGCTGCTGCCAGCTTCGTCACTAATCGTTATTGTTCAGGAAAAGATGTTTCACAGCTTGGATGGCTTCCAACCTTGGAGAGAACTCAATTAAACCTCCTCAAGCATACTCACCGAGCAATCTACAACAAGGACTCTTGTCCTGAGTACTTAACCCTGGAAGTATATAACCCTGAAAGAACGCTACGCTCTAATGCAGCACCACGATTGTCGATTCCATTAATAAAAGGAACTTTCCAGGAGACAACAGCGAACTTATTCAATGATCTTCCCCCAGAAGTACGATCATGTGCAGACTTAAACGTATTCATGAGGGAAGTGAAACAATTACTGAAATCCAGAGCATTCCTACGCCTTCAATAGACTTATTTGTATTGTATTAGTGCAATGTTTCTTCTTATTAACAATTTAGTTTAAATTTATAACAATTATTAACAATTTATATATATTTAATTGTTTTCAGTTACGCAGATGTAAAGCTACCATGTAGATAAGCTGCAATAAAGTCTTTATTATTATTATTATTATTATTATTATTATTATTATTATTATTATTATTATTATTATTATTATTATTATTATTATTATTATTATGATTATGGTTAATGTTGACCGATAGCACTTTGCCCTCGACAAATGATTGTTAATTATGAAATAACAATAATCTTCACCATCACATATATCAGCATTGCTTAAACTGCTTAAATACCGTTCTCTTTCCCTTCGCTTTGCTGTGAGCTTTGACTTGGGTCTTGAGTGTAGCAAGAATACCAGTTGAATATATAGCTTCTTTTATGCATGACCATAATATATATATATATCGGAGCTCTTGTATATGGCTTCGTCTGACCATGCACATTTTCCATCGATATTTTGTTTGTACAAACACAATATTTTTGCAATGTGAGAAACAAAACGCGTGCGTAACAAGTTTTTGGTCCGCGGACCCATTTTTAAGCGGGCCGAGACTACCTCCTGAGGAGTGCCGTGCCCAAAAAAATGGGTCCGCGTGCCGAAATTTAAGCGTGCCGTGCCCAAAATGACTGTCGTGTAAACGGGGCTTTATAGACCCTCCGCTCGGGGGATTCGGCGGAATATTACCCTCAGTGATGATATTTTAAACCTTGGGGCAAAGCCCCTCGGGAAATATCATCACTTCAGGTAATATTCCGCCGAATTCCCCGCGCTCCGGGTCTATAAATGATAAATATCCCACTCCAGTCCTGACACCATGTTATATATTTCGATTTTAGAAGCCAAGATCGATTGCGATTGAGAAGCATATTTTATTAAATCTCATGAGATAAACAATGTCAGTTACAGAGAGAACCGGATACATGAGCCCACGATAGTAGTATTGTGAGGGGCTTAATACACCCCGTTTATGCGCATAATTAAGAGGGTTAGCCTTAATAATTCATGAGTTATGCAAATTAATTAGCATAATCGATGACGTATATTTCCGATGATTTTCCGATGACGATAAAACAACGAGGGCTTTCCGATAATTAATTTGCATAAGGATGACGTATTTTC